TCAAATAATTGAAACGAAACAAAATTTATTTTTATCTTTTTCTTTTCTGTTAGAACAGACATAACTACCAGATAAACAGATCTTAGGACAGTTTGCAGAAGCAATTAATCGAATACTGGATTTCCTGAATCTACATGTGTATACACACCATAAATACAAGACAGAAAAATAAATTAGGATCCCAAATCTACATTTTTTGTTTAAACTGGAACCATCCTATATTAAGAAAAAAAGTTTTTTTGTATAAATTAGTAAAAGCTTTAAAGAAGAGTATCTGAAAAAATTGAGGTAACAAATCGAATATAAGATTAACAGGTAAATTTAACGAGCATTTATGTGCCACCACTCAAGGATACTGCTGAAGTACTTAGATGTGCACTTCGGAATGCCACCACGTCGCTTTCAAAAAAAAAAATTTGTGAAAAAACTTATTTTGAAGTAGTCTGTAGTGGGTGTGTCGCTTAGTAAAATACATAATGAAAAACCCAAAAGAAAATGTGAAAATTTAATGTAAAGAAAAAGATACAAAAAAATCTTTATAAAAAAAAATAAGATGTACACAAAAATAATAATAAACGAAGAATATTAAATTTTTAATGAAGTTTAATGGATGCCGGAAGTTTAAAGCAAGGAAAACGTACCAGAAGTAAAAAAAAAAAAATTGGAGGAAATCAAAAGTCACAAGTGGCTCGAGGCAAAAGGAAAAAAAATAACAGAAGTCGAAAAGAATTTAGTAAAGAAAGCCAAGCAGGAAACAGAATAGCTAAGCAGAGCGGAGCGTACAAGGAATAAAGAATAAACAGGAAACGAACCAAAGTGGCAGGTGTGCCTTAAGTGGTTGTTAAGCAATATTTGGGGTTCATTAAAGGAACATATTTTAAATTCGGTTTAGTTGTGGATGCCACAGTCATTGCCGTTCGGTTTCCTAGCAATATTGCAATTAACAAACTTTATTATTTCATAATAAATTTACAAAAAGCAATTGAGATAAGAATTTCATAAATTAATGAAATGCAGATATAGAAAATATCACTTAAACAACTAAAATATGCATAACGTTCCAGACTTAGTTGAGTGCATTGAAAATGTTGTCGCTACTGCATCGACTGATAACGTGATGTCCATCAATGTGATTGCTGTAATCAACATCAGATCAAGTGAATGCATGTAGCATCCATCGTACATTGCATTTTCTAATGAAGTTGCTACACTAGTGTTTCCGTAATTTTAATCTCTATTATTATGTGCAAATGCAGCGATTTGTAAAGTGCATTTACAGCATTTGCACATTTAAGTGCAACAACAATAATTACAATTGCAATCGCAATCGCTACAACACGAGCAACAACAAAAGGACATGGATGCACATAGATGTAGAGGCGTAACGTCTCATAAGTGTGATTACTTCAAGTTAATTAACATATTGAAAATGCAGCAAGGATACTTTGTGAATGGGAAACTTTTAAGCACATAATTCCAAAGTAGAAAATCTGCATACAATATTTTAAGTGCAGCGGTGTCTTGCAGTATGAGTTTGTAATATAATGTATAGATTATCGTATCTGTTAGAGCATCACACCGAGTGCTTTGGCTTACCATCTTGAATTAGTTGTTCAATTTCAAAGGCAACCCAACAATTCATTAGCTGGAAAAACAATTTTCTCCTTCGGATTTGTTCGCTTATTGCATTTCCGATTGAATGCTTCTAGGGTTACGTATGCTGTGTGTACTTTGTGACCATTACTTCACACAGATTATTGTCCAAATGTGATGTAAAATTAATTAAAATGTATCGTTGGAGATCAAACATACCTGCATTGAATAAAATTGCAATTGAAAGGTTAACAAGTAACTAATCCTGTACATTTAGATAGGTTAATAGGGGAGAATAGAGAAGAAGTATAATTTTTTAATTTAATACTACGATTCATCAAATAATAATATCAGAAGGATAAAAACTTTTATGATAGATTAGGGGTCTAACCTATTACTAATACTATGAATATGAAAAGGTTAATAAAGGTGCGTAGAAAAGAACTCATTTTATTATACAGTTTAATACACCAATTCATAACATCATTTAATCAAATAGACACAAATTTATATGGTACGTTAGGTTTCCAAAATAATTCATAAAATAATTCATTATATAAAAAAAGAGATATAGATTTATTTTTAAGTTAGTTTTCGATGCTATATTGAATTCTTTTTATGTGGATATAGTCATGAGAAAATATCAAGAAAAAATAATTTTTCAAAATTTGCGAAATATGAAATACTATTTCGGATAAAATAAATATTTTATAACTAAAATACTTTATATTTTAAATAAAAAACAAAATTAATATGCCTTAAAATGCATCTTACAAATGAAAATAAATGAATTCGTCATAATTTAAAGAAATGTATCAGAATACAATGCCTTATCGCTATGCATATATATATCTACTATGTAGAAGCATTTAATAGAAATATCCTGTCACCTCAAGAGAATACTTTCTCTTGACAATACTTTTCTCTTAGCGCTAATGAAAATAATTCATTTGAAAGAATTTTGGTAAGAAAGCTTTCGGTTTGTGTAAAAAAACATACTCAAAAGTTATTCTACGGTTCCCAAAAAAAGGCCCTCCGCTCTATACCAAATTCTCCCAAGTATAAAACAATCTACATTGGAATAAAGAAAAGGGTCATATCTGGGATATCTTCCAGAACTGAATGTGATTTCGGTGATTTGTCAACACATAAGTGAAAATAGCTCAACTAATATTCGTTTTCAAAGTAACAAAACTTTTAGGATGGCCTGAAAAGCACACATCTTTTGAAAAGACGCGTTTAGCATTATTTTTTTAAAATGACCTTATTTAAATATGACTTTTTTTGAATACAACAGTCTTTCGGATATTAAAAGAGTTAACAAAATGTTTAAGAAGCCAACTAAATGGGACCATTATAAAGAAATTACCAATTTATACAGTAATTTTTAGAAATTTTTAAGGATCGGAACTAATTATTAGAGTCAGCAAAAAGTCTAAGAAGCCAACTAGATGGAATCATTGTGACGAAGTTATAAAGACTTACAGTAATTTTCAGAATTTTGCAAGGATCGAAACTAGTTATAAGATGGCTTAGATCACAGTTACATCTACCATATGATATGAAAACACTACTGCCAAATCAGATTCACAAAACTTACAGTCTTTCAAAATGGAGCCTTCTTTTACAATAAGCTAGATTGTACAATCTATGCAGTAGATTGATTCTGATGCAGAAATTATGCATGGATTTAAGATGCATTACTGATGAACAAAAATTAAAATCCGCAGTGTTTGCAAAATAGAGCGGAAGATGTAATCTTGGTTATCTATCCATCGCATTAGTATATCGTAACATTTTTTTTAAATTACTAATATTTTCTTCAACAGTATTTTAGAAAGTATTAATAAAAAATATTGTTACACCAAATAAAGCTTAGTTTCAAAAGTATACCTGTTGACATATACTGAAATTTCTGATATTAAGTAACTAGATAAAATAAATCCGCTTCTATTCATCAAATATATATTTTTTAAAGGAGAAATCTAACTTACGAAAAACATGTATTCTAATAGATGACGTCAGTATAAATATCTGTTTTTAAAAAGTCCTGTTCACTTCGGTTCTTAGCCTTCGGGAAAAGATATATAAATATTTACATTTGTACGAGTTAAATTTTATGAGAGATCTAATTTTTCTTAAATCATTACTGTTAACGTTATTAAAAATAAATCTTAGTATAATCCTTTATAATATCATAGCTCAACATGGTTTCCGTACACTTCAACCAAAGAATACCAAATCTAAGAGCTATGAATCCGCAATGCATAATCTTCATCAATTGGTCCAACTTTGTACGCCAATTAAATTAACTTTTTTAATGCAATAATTAAACAGAAAAAGGAAAATAAAAAGCGAGACCATTTAAAATGACTGCTTAATCCTTTTTTCCGATTGTCAGCGGAAACATTTTGCTTCGCAAAGTAAAATAAGAGTAAAAAATAGCATTAATGCCACTCAGAATGACCCAAGTAATCCTTTTGTAAATTTGTAAAAATTTAAATGATCAGCTACAGTAAAAAGGATAATTTAAATCCATTTGTAACTAGAACTTTTTAACAGGACTCAAGGCATAAACAAAGAAAAATTCGCTACTGCATGAAAATCAGTGGGATCAGAAAAAAACTTGTCAAATGTCTGGAAAAGATTTGCCAGCAAATCCCAAGAAATTATTTGGCACTTGATGCATTTAAAATGTCAAAAGGAATCTTAAAAGACAGTATCAACAAAAAATAAACAGCGGAAAAAAATAACAACACACCAACCAACCTCGTATAAGGAAGGACTGCTCTAGTCAAAAAAAAAAAATGGAGGAGAAAATGGCGAAAAAAATACCGAGACAGACAAGTTTAATGAGCGAAATTGTCAAATACTGCAAAGGTTGCTTAAATGCAAATAAAAAAAACCAACAAGGACAACAAAATTATCCCCAAAAGTAGCTGCCCGAAGAAAAATCACTTGGAAACATCTCTGATTTTTTTGGTTATCGGCGTGGGGATGCTTCGGAACTTAAGTAAACAGTTCCGCTGATTTAATTTTCTACACAGCACACGCGTTTGAACGCGCTTGTCCGTCTGTCACCCTCGATTTGACGATTTTTAAAATTGTGTAGCCGTGATAAATTGACAAGCAGTAAAAATGGTAGCAAAACTGCAAAAAAAAATTAATAAAATCTTTTTATAAAAATCTGAAATAAATGCGCTCATCAAGTGGCTACAATCGCCACACCAGCAAATGCCACTAATCAATTGAACGATTGCTTAAATCAACTATGAAATGAAATAATTTTAAACTTGTTTTCCATTTCCCACCCACTGTAAATATTTTCCACAATTTTTCCACATTTTTCACAATTCCTTCTTTTTTTTTTGAATCATATTTTTTTTAATCATGATTTGTTTACTTACCTCTGCCGCTACGTCCAACGAAACGCAAATCATTGAATTTGGCCACTTGATTCTTCATCACTGCCGTACAGTTGCGTAGCTCTCCGCAAAAGTTTTCATCATTTCCGGCGCGTATTGTCACAATTGTACCATCCATCACCTCACCGAGGGCGAGCACTTTAAAGGCAATCGGCAGAGTTTTGTTTGAACGCCAGTGTGTGGGCAACGTTGTGCAAACCTGCGTAAAAACAAATTATGAGATAAAAATTCCTATTTAATTCTGTTTATGTTTAACGCCCCCACACCCACACAACTACACACACCCAAATTTAATTAAATATATTAAAGATTTATGAGCAGTCAAGAAGAACGAAGATGTATTATCAGACGTCTTCATATGGGCAAGCACGTTCGTCTCATCATAAGTTCATGAGATGAAAGTAATTAGTAACCAAATTTAAAATTTAATTACAATACTAACGATTTCACTTGTATTTCTTTTTAATTATAATTGTGTTTTTAATTGAATTTAATCAAATGAAATTTTGTATTTGGAAAATGTTAATTATCCTTTTTTAATGGAGGGGTAGAGCATTTTCTTTTTAACGTTGTCTTTATGTAGACCGCCTAAGTGTAAAGACATTAGACGACTTAGTTTTAGTAGTCCTTTTGGCATGAAGCGTAAGTAACGTCTTAATCCGATACTGGCCAACTGGCCATTATATGTGCTCAAGTCGTATACAAGGCCACCACTGCAACTCAATCTAACCGGTCCAATTTCCCAATATTGCAAGCAATATGCACTTAAAAAAGGCTTATTAAGTATATGAGTAAGATCGATATCTATCAACTTCACCTATCCCAGTAAATGTAGGCTAACTAAGTATATAAGGAAGATCGGTATCTATTTACTTCACCTAACTAAGTTAATGAATTTAAAACTAATTTTTTTTTTCATTATCAGGAATATTATTTAACTAATAAACTATATCTCTAAATATTTCTGTCTGCTTGAATGGAAGCTCGTTTTAAGCTAGCAATTTGCGTTTAAACTCATAAAATCATCGGGATTGGTGAAATAAACTGTGAAATTTAGATCGAAATTTAGAACGAGAATAGTGTTGACCAATAATTGTTAAATAATCTATAATAAATAATAAAATTCATCCAATTTAATTAATTCAGTTATGGATTTTTATTCAATTAAAATAATTCTTAACTACGATCTTCCTCTCTAATAAAAATTTATGTTAAAGTGACTGTAACTAATATACACAAAGATCTGCGGATGAATACTGCTTCAAGTGGAAATTGTATCAAGTACAAATTACTAATACTTTTTAAAAGAATGGTTTAGTGGCACACCACAAAGCTCTCCTTATTCAAGAGGTTAACTAATCATTTCACTGAAGAAAGGTATTTAGGTATCTACAGATTAATATAGACTGGCTATCAGTACTATTTAAACCTTATTCACATGCAAGATTAAATTTGGTTTTATCGATCTTGAAAAAGGCTGTTAAATAGATCCTGTTAAAAAAAACAAATAGAAAGATTTCCTTTCGATTAATAGTCCAAGTGTTACTACATAACTAACAAATATTTTTGATTTCAGAATACTGTCGAAATGCTAGCCTTCACCTAAAAGACGTCGCAAGCGGGATTCGTGAAGAGCAAGGGAAAATAATGAACCCGAACAACAACGATTACAAGATAGTTACTTTAAACACTTATAGAATATGGAAGTAGATGAAGTTATTGATAATACGAACCAACCTTAATCCATGTAAAAATTATTTTATACTTTCAACACGCTTCAAAAAAATTTATAAGCAGTATTGAGTGTTACAAAATCAGAGTCTGATGTCCTTAAAAATGTTGGTTTACCTCTGATTAAATTGTTATAGTCGCAAAAAGTGTTCTTTCGTTAGTGAGTTAACCATTAACTGAATTGGGAGAATCACCTCTCACCTGATCATCTTACATATTTACTTTTAACACCGATTTGTTTTTAAACCTTTCCCTTTTCTCGATTATGTATATCAAGAAATAAAGGGTTTAATGTATAGTACGAGTTACTCAGATGGAATAACCATCCCTCACCTGATCATCTTACATGTTTACTTTTAACACCGAATTGTTTTTACACCTTTCACTTTTCTCGATTTAATCAAGAAATAAAGTGTTTAATGTGTATTATGAGCTATTCTCTTAACGGTAGAAGAGTTGGGCTAAGATATTAAGTATGCTCTGCTTTGGATTATTACAACTTATTAATGATTTTTGAACATAAAAAACCTCACTTAAAACTTATGTTATCCTCAACGTATTACACTATCTAATGTTGGTATCTACCAATATATGGTATATGGGTATATAATAAGATACAATAAAAAACTTATTGGAACAGATATAAATCTGCGATACTTAAATTGAAACTTCAAAATTCGGATTATATTAATTATTTAAGTCCACTTACAATGTGCGGCGATCCCGTTTTTACCAATTCTCCTGGATGCTCTGCTAGGAGCACGTCAACGGTTCGTTCAAATAAATTCTCAGGTGTTAAATAAGGACTTACGTCAACAGGTTTTTTACTATTGTTATTGTTAGTATTATTATTATTATTGTTGTTGTTATTGCCATTTGAATTTTCACTATTCACAGAGTTACTAACACGTTTGGTAGGTGTTTGTTGATGGTTTGTTGTGGAACTCACTTCACTTGAAATGTGCATTTTGCTTCTATTGACAATAACAACAATTAACAATTTAAGTATATTTTGTTTGTTCTTTTTTTATTAATTTTTTTATTTTAGTTTTCATTGAATATGTCAGTTTTGTGGTTTTCTATTAGAACATATTTTACACTGGTTGCTACACTTCGATAACAGAACCGACCTATTTATGGTATCTAAAATAATTGTAGATTATTGAATTTATTAAATTTTTTATTGAAATATTGTACATTAAGACTGAAAAGTTTTCGGAAATTCTCATTTAAAATTCGCGCGCTGTATATTTTTCGATATTTTAAGTTTATGTAGTTTGGCAGCACTGTCCTTAATTACTATGCCAAAAATGAGCTCGATCTGTCAGACAGTTCGTTTACGGCAGCTGTTGAAACCAGTTCACCTCAGTAGTGCGTTGCGAAATGTCTTCGACGGTCGTACGACCGTCCTGGAAGGCTTTGTACCACTCATAAACTTGAGTTTTCGATAAAACTGATTCCCCATAAGCCTTTTGTAGCATTCGCAACGATTCTGCACACGAAATTTCGTTCGAAACACAAAATTTGATGCAAACTCTTTGTTCAATATTTTTTTCCATTGTTTTTTTCGCAACGCCCTACTGAGGTGAACTGGTTTCAACAGCTGCCGTAAACGAACTGTCTGACAGATCGCGCTCATTTTTGGCATAGTAATTAAGGACAGTGCTGCCAAACTACATAAACTTAAAATATCGAAAAATATACAGCGCGCGAATTTTAAATGAGAATTTCCGAAAACTTTTCGGTCTTAATGTATATTTCAGTTTTTAAATGGAAACACTTAGAGTTATTGCCAAATATAGTCCAATATTAACTCGATTTTTCGTCCGTTCAGTATTGACTGTGACTTGCTATTAAATTGTCACAGACTGCCGACCGCTATTGAGATTAAAAATTTGTTTTTTTTTTGTGTTTTAAACAAAAAAAATTGCTTGAAAAAACATAAAATCAGGAAAAAAAATTACTAATGAGATTGTCAAGTAATAAAGTGGTGGCCGATGAAGAAATGTTTGCGCGAACCCACACACATGAACGCAACTGTTTCCGGAAAAGTGCGTGCGGTGTATCATAATTTCGAGCATTTTTTTCCTCATGGACTCGGTTATGTCCTTTTCGATTTTTATTTTAACAGAATGTTTTTTGACTTTTTAAGCCAATTTTTTTTAATTGTCGTGCAATTTTTTAACAATTTCCGTTGTTTGGTAGTTTCTGTTTCAGTGAAATTAACATAAAAATATGAATGAAATGATTAACAAGACCAAATTTAAAAATACCGTAAAAGTCGAATAATGTGATTTAAAAATAATAACTATAAATTAAATTAATTCAACAATGAATTCAGAAACCTTTGAGAGAAAGCAAATTGTAAATGAAATTACTTCATAGCCATTAAACACTCTAGCCGTTGAGTTATATTAGTTGCAGCTAGTTGACGCCAGGATACCTCATTTACAATTCTAGTTTCTTAGCGACAGCAGTTAAGAACATACTTAATAAAGTTGTAGTCGTATAGTGGTGCTACGTATTGACCTTACAAGCATCTCCACTAGTTGTCAAACCAGAATATCGTACTTTTAATCCTAGTTTCTTAACGATACCAGTTAAGAACATATTTAATAAAGTTGTAATCATATAGATTTGCTACGTATTGACCTTACAAGCATCTCCACTAGTTGTCAAACCAGAATATCTTATTTATAACCCTAGTTTCTTAACGATACCAGTTAAGAACATATTTAATAAAGTTGTAATCATATAGATTTGCTACGTATTGACCTTACAAGCATCTCCACTAGTTGTCAAACCAGAATATCTTATTTATAACCCTAGTTTCTTAACGATACCAGTTAAGAACATATTTAATAAAGTTGTAATCATATAGATTTGCTGCGTATTGACCTTACAAACTTCTCCACTAGTTGTCAAACCATTTCCCATGCTGCAGTGTCGCATTGTCTGTTCGCTATTTGGAGGTCTTCCTGATGGTCTGTCTTGGTACTAATATTCTTTGGGCTCACTTCAGATTTTAAAAATTGTGACCGACATCTTTTGGACTATATCATATATATATTGTTGAATAAAAAAATTTTTTTGACGAAAATAACTTCACTCATACGCTATGTGGAACTGTATCAATGCTCAAGTAGCTACGGTATAAAATTTTGAATAAAAAGTGGCTATAATCTATGATGACTGTAATCAGTAGCAATGACGATAATGATGGCATTACTGAGCATACGTAGAACCTTTATCTACATTCAAATAATTGTCAGGATATTCGTTTTATTTTGGCTATTCATAGCGCGCTTTTTATTTCAACTCACAAAAGAAAAACAATTTTTATTATCAACGAAAAAAAGGACTCATTGTGCCAAAATAATTAAAAAGTGAAACAAACGCAAAGGACAATATTTAAAAATTTAACTTTTTGCTTTTCACAACCAATAAAATTAGCAACAAATGCCACCACGCACACAAAGCCAAAATACCTCTACTCGCACACACACACACACACACACACACACACACACACATACACACAATATAAATTTCACATCCGCTAAAAAAACGCGAAAAATATTTTCCAAAAAAATAAAAAAAATAAATAAAAATGAATAAAAAAAGGAAAATGTGAAAATATGTTGAATTGTTGGCCATATTGTGTGTACGTTAGGGTCAGCACAAATAGCCGTGGTCCTTTGTATGAGTCCCCTTGCATGGTCATGAATGGATATTATTGGGTGTGCGAGTATCTCGTAATTGCAGTTTTCGACCGATGAGGCGCTTCAGCGTTTAACTTTGTGGTGTGATTCATTGGGTTAAGCGACTTTAGTAAATTAACAGTTGCGGAAAATGGTTGACCGACAAAAAAAAATTATTTTCATACATGTTTCACATGGAAATGTTCAAGTGGAACAAAATTGAAAATTAAAAATATATTAACAACTGCAATCAAAGTTTTTTACTCAGCACAATAGATCACAGTCAACAGGGATATTGCAGGATATTGAATAATTGGCTTTTAGTTCGCTGCAGGACTATTGCACCGGCTAAGCACATTAGTGGCAAGTGAAGTGCTTTATGTGAAGTGTATTTGTTAATAGTAGAAAATAATATTTGTTGATTTTTTAATTTAGATTTTTACTCTACATTTATATAAGGACATGTTAAGTTAAGTAGATAATACTATTGTTACTATTTGTAAATAAGTTAAATTAATTAGTGAATGTTTGTATTGAAATTAAATATTTGACTTCATATTAATTTTTATAAATTTTAATAATTTTTAAATCGCTTTCGTACTCAATTTCAATTTAACCACATTTTTCAAAAAGTATGCTGAACGCAGTCAGGATCAAGATACGATTGTGACATCTAATCAAGTATGAAGTGTCTTTCTAATGGTAGACATATATGGTCGTAACTTTATCAGTGCCGTCATATATCTAGAGCAAAATATAAACTGCCAAGATTGTAAAAGTTTGGATGCCATAACTTATTTTGGCATCAAACGTGTTATGTACTGATTATAAGAATTTTGGCCGTATTTCATTTGATGATGGAAACTATCAGAGCTGGCTGAGCACTACTTTAATTAAAAAGACTAGCCGTAAGCCACGAATATATCCACTAGGTCCGTATTAAAGACAGTTAAATCTGTATGTAGATTTTTATAGAAGACATTTTATAAGTCTACGGAGTGTTTGCAGCTTTCATTTTTGGAACAGAGCTAACAAGCAATTTATACATCAGGTTCGAGTTCAGATATTTTAGTTCTATTACATTATATATAACAAATTCTGTCTGTTCTCTAGATATTAAAAGTCAATACATACGGGTTGTTGCTATTTGACTAAAATAAAACATATTATACACTTATATACATATGTACATATGTATATGTCTATAAGTCTCTATTATTTACTGAGAATATAGCCATTAAAAAAATTAGTCCGTAATAAAAATTGTCAACACTAGACGAATCCGCATTTCTTTGAAAAAAATTTTAAAATCTTTTTTCAGAGATACAGGCTCTTAAAAAAAGAGCTTATAAAAATAATTTCAACTAATTCTGAAGTTATGATGTCAGTTTTTATTTGAAACTAATCGGTTTGTGAAATAATTCCCCATATAAAAAATAGTACGTACTCTCCAATGTTATAATTCTTTTTTATTGGCTTTTAACTTTACTAACTGAAGCTAGATAGATTCTCTACACCGTAGAAATTGTTGAAATTAGAAGTAAGGTGAGATGAAAAAAATTGAATTTTTGATTGATTTTCTCATATGTTTGAAAAGCAGACAGTGTGTATAATAATTTACTACCCGTACTATTTACCATAGTTCGGGGATTTTACTGTACCCCGTAGTATACTGCACTTCTTCTTTTTTTACTAAAGTTAAATATCACAAAAATGTTGAAGTAAATTATATATTGAATATATTTATATGAATATTTTCTGTATATATTTTAATACAACTTATTCTACTTTAATTCCCTTCTTCTTATATTTTATTATCAGTATTTTCAGTGAACTGACTTTGATTTCAAATATTTCAATACACATATATCTGATATCTGAAATATATTTATATATGTATATACGTGAGTTAAGCTGAGCACTAACTGCTTTTGTGAATGGAGTCAATGGGTTTACTTTGTAATTTATATGAATTTAATTTAGTGTAGTACTTCATAAACTTAATATCATATTAAGGAATTAAAGATATTAAGGAATTTTTTAAAGGAAAATATTATTAAGGAATTAAGAATATTAAGGAATTTTCTAAAGGGCCTACTAAAAACCAACTGTAGCCCATCTAAGCATAATTTCTTTTATTGAATATAAATGGTTAATATGGTTTTTTCTATAAAGAACTACTGAAAAACTGACTATAGCCTATCTAAGCATAATATCATTGAATTAATATAAATAGTTGGCATTAAATGAAATTAATAAATATACTTAATGTATTATTTATC